TGTGAAATGACGTCAGAGTTGAAGTAAGGGCTTACTAAAGGTCAGTTTTCGCCCACTATTATTCAGTCAGATTTCCGCGAATCACTCCCAACTTTGCGAGTCCCCGTTTGCTTTTCTCTAAGAAAACGACATCCAGCGCGTGAAAGCGCTAACTCTGCTGACAAGGCAATGGTCAGAAGTCGAAGCCAATCCAAGTAAGCTGCCTACTGTTTGATGCAGCATTCAACGCTGGCTTCGAATTTGTATTTCATATCTGCTTAGCGCCATTGTAGACGAAGTTATGAGCAGTTTTACTGCGAAAATATCGTACATAAAAATTGCGAAAAAGGCACACTTTTTTACTTTCAGCTCACCTTTATTCTTTGAAAATTTAAAGTGACCTAGCTGCATGATGTAACCCAGCATTAAGCCGAACATGGCTCTGTGCTGTCAAATTTGAGCTTTGCAGGCCCGATTTCTTAGCAAAATGATGGCTTTTAACGGCTTATAACTTTGTCCACAAAGGCGCTAAGCAGATACGGAATACAGATTCGAAGTCAGCGTTTTATGCTGCATCTAATGGTATGTAGCTTGTTTAGATTGGTCACTTCGATTTCTGATCATTCCCTTGTGAGCCCTGGTGGGGGCGGGGGGAGTGGAGAGCGGTAAAGCGGATGTTTTTCAGCTAATGCTGGTAAGAGTTGGCACAGGGGTGTATGAGTGCATTCTGACTACAAAAACATTAGATTCTAAAATTATCGATTTATCGACTCTTGATTTCCTGGTGCTAACAATTTCCTCCCCTCTTCCCTCTCTCTTTTGCAAGTTTGTACTTGTGGGTATGATCGAATTCGCATATTGCTACGGTTTAGATGCCTGGTTCTCACATTGACGTTTTTTCCTGTCACTCTGCTTTGCATCATAGTCATCATTAATTCACTTAAATGATGATTATCTGTCATTTCTTCAAAATCTATGTAAATACGATTTTGGATTTGTCAGATCATGTTACTTCACACAGTAACGCAGAAAATTAAATCATCTTTTCATTTCGCACCATTGTGCCCGACTTTATTCTGCCAACAAAACCATCAGAATGCCGTTGAGACTATGTTTGCTGAAAAAATTGATTTTTCAATCAAAAATCTGAGCAATCAATGAATTTTGATTCCTAGAGGCGGAAAATTCGAACTTCTTTAGAGCAGAGCCTTGATTCATCCCCCTTTCACCCAGGTTTCAAGAGCCATAGAAACTCATTTTTCAAAAGTTTCCTCAAAAATCAATTTTTTATATCAATTTTGATTCCGAGTGGCGGTAAAATTTGACGTTTGTGAAGAAGAGCCTCATTCTGAAAGTTTTATTTACTTTTTGGCAGATTTTTAAAAAAGCCATAAAATTTGATTTCTCGAACAGTTTTGCTAAACATTTTAATCTCTCTAGCGAAAACTATAGAGTCAATACTTTTTGACCTGCCTGTTATTCGACGTTTTGTGGGGTAGAACTTTATTTTGGAGAGCTTATCTCTCTCTTCGCTTAATCAAAAAAATTTATTAAACCTGCTTTTGACGGTATGTCTGCTATAAGACTTGTTGCAAAAAATTGAACATTTATATGGACATCTGCGGATGTGGAGCCTGTTTTGGACGTTTCCTGCACTTTACCGCAAATTATAAAGAACTCATTTTTTTGAGCAAGTGTGCTGGAAAAATTTTATTCTATGGAAGGATTTACACCGTTGAAGCAGGGTGTCGAATGAAAGGAAAGTTCGACGCTTTACGCAGAGCAACGCTGTTAGCAATTTTCAAAGCAAGCCAACAATGAAACATTTTCCGTTTTCCATTCATTTCCAAAAAAACTTTGTTATAAACTTACTTTGATAGCATTCGTAAGCAAGTTCGAATAGATAAACGCGTATGGACTTGTGCAGAGAAATAGAAAAACTTTTCTCTTACATGATGCATTCGAACGAGCACAAATGCGCTGTTACAAACATCAAATAAGGATTCGTTACAGCTAGTTTGCTAGTTTATACTTTGTGCTCTTTGTAAGATGGATAGTATCTATCTATCGCGACTTCTAAAATGTGGAATCCGAGTCAGTGGTAGAATGGAAACTTGTGCAACTAGAACAGCAAAAGATGTAGTAGGGTAATCGTATTATGTGTTTATTTCTTTCAGTATAATCTTCTACTTATGAAAATTATTTTCAGGTCTGCTGCTCATAAGATTGTTTCTGAAATAATGAGCGAATCATTTTATATAAGTGAAGCCTTATGCGTCAATATTCAATTTCCCCACCTACTTGCTAGCTACCTGTAGGGTCGCTAGTATGATACATACAATGTATGATCTTACTTCCGAATGTATGTGCCATACAATTAGTTGTATGAGAGGAACCCAGAACTACTACCGGCGGAATTTGCCATCTCGCTCTCATCATTTGTTCTTATTTGTATCTATGGGAGAAATACCGACGGTGTATAGAATGTCTAATGTGTGTTAAGTGTGTTAAGTATATCCTCGGGGAAAGTGGGAATTTCCTACGATATTTTACGAGGGAGATTTTTTGGCATATAACTTCTTCAACTATTATTTTCAGCTTCACATTTTAGTTAGGTGGAACACGGCCTGTGGACGCTTGATAGTCATCTTGTAAAACATCGTTTACTCTGCCGAATGATGACCCAAGCAGCACCAAATAGAGTACAGAAATAGGAAGGCGATGGTTTTGCCTAAAAAATTTTTGAAACAACTGAATAACTCATTGTGGATCGAAACACCTTTTTCAACATCTCTGTGGTATGGCGATCTTATGAATCGCCCACAGTTGTAAACATCAACTGATATGAGAAATCTATGACCGAAGTACCCCGCTCAATCGGAACCCTTCTCTTGACGTCATCATAATCTTGATTTTTCTTGTTGACATCATATATCTTGATTTTTTTAAGGTCTTTCATGAAGTTTCGCACCCTATACTTTTGGCCAAAATAGAAGTAGGAATAAAGGGAATCTCCTAGATTGATTAAGGTCATAGGAAACGAGATATTTGATTGTAAGTGTGGTAATGGTTTCAAAGCACACCCCCACACTAGCAAAGAGCCACAGGGTAGAGTTTCGTCACCGTTGTTATTACTGTAGTAACAGTAGACATTGTCGGCCTCATGCAAAACATTCGTGACGTAAGCGTTCGATTATACAGTCTGCCCCAATCCTAACCAGGCCAAAATCGGCATGGCGGGAGTCCGCGCTGCGAGGGTTTCGCGCCTAGTCTGCTCGCTAGCTAGTCTGCTCTCTCCTCGATCTCTTCACTCTCTACGACAGCGCGCGTATGCAGCGCAATCCCCTAGCGCTGCGAGCGCGCAAATTCAGCCGACGGTTCGGCCTGATCCCGATTGGGGCAGACTGTATACTGACGATATAAAAATTTATGGCGCCCATAGAAACGACATCAAACCGAAGTACATGCTGATTTTGAATCTGCATTTTTGAATCTGACAAATTTTGGATAGTCATCGTTCTTGGTTCCCGTGGATGAGCTAAATCCAGGACTTTGGTTTGCAGCTTCAAAAGATTATCAAAAACCCGCTTTTGCAGACGTGAAAAATGCTATCTGGGCCGACTGCGTGTGCCTACCCTCTAGAGCGCGATTGGCTTGTGTGTACGGTAGGTACGGTGTCTCCACTTACTAGCCAATTGCACTCTAGAATGCAGGCATACGTAGTCCGCCCAAATAGCACTTTTCACGTCTGGAAAAGCGGGTTACTGATATCTTCTAAAGCTGCAAAGCACAGTCTTGGACCTTAGCTGGTTCAGGGGAACCGAGAACGATGAATATCCCAAAGTTGTCATGCCGAACCGCTGCCTTCAAAGGCAGCTTCCCACCAGGCTGGGAGGTACCTGGCTCTGGTAGTAATGCAGTAGTAGAGCCCCTAACTAAGCGACGACAGAAGTTTGCAGCGCGAAAGGGGGTCTACGAAGTCTACAAATTGCCCCTTAATCGGCCCGAATCTTACGGTAGGCTCGGGCGAGTGCGTCCTGCATGCAAGGTAGAGACGCAGAGCCGTTACGGGACTCATGACCGTGCGCGCTATACGCACTCTGGCAAAATCGATATTGCTGTGTGGGCGGCGTCCGGGCCTACCGTAAGATTCGGGCCACTTTCGGAGCAAATTTCAGGATTGATAGACCCCCTTTTCTGCTCCGAGCTTCAGTCATCGCTTCGGTAGGGGGTTTGGTTTAACATCGCCACAAAAACCCGGCACCCATCTTTTTGCCTGGACGCTGCCTTCAAGTGCATCTTGACTGAGCTACAAACAATGATATCTAACATTAAGTGTTGACAATTGTTTTTTTGAGCACTTGGGAGTTCAGATGTATTTAAGTATACAGTAAACAACACTGTTTTATAAACACTTAAGGAAGTGAGTTTGGGAAACAGATTAAAATTCTACCCTCTCCCAGAAATTGGCTGGTCGAGCTTTGCCATACTATATCATACAGTACAGTGCATGTCAATACCCATTATCCAACCACAGTTACTTGCTGAGTAATCGAAGAGCACTTGTGCTGCAAGCAGGGGGCATGATCTTGTATACGGCCTAACAAGCTTGTTCCCTTTCTCTTCTTCAAAACTATTCGGAGACTGGACTTACGCTGATTGAGTGGGTGTTTTTATCTTCCTTACTATTGATTATTTCTCGAGTTTTTCATTTATTGTGATCGTGTGGAATGCTTTTTGCGTATCAAATAAAAATAAAAATAAACACCTTGATTTCACGCGTAAGGCGCGGGGGATTTTTTCCAAAATCGACCAGCCCAGACAAGCCAAAGGACTTTATAACCAAAGGACCCTATAACGTCTGTATATTGCTTGAGAGAATCGTGCGTCGTAAGAATTTCTTTCCGAAATACGAAGCGGCTGAGCGGCTTGCTTGAAATTTCGAGAGCACTTTATACGCGTGAAATTAGGGTAAATAAAATCTCAAAGAGCACATTTATAAATTAGTAAGGAAAGCTTACAGTCTCCCGGCGCTGTGTCATGCAGTTGAGTCCTGAGCAGATACGGGCCATGTTGTAAGCTCTACGGACCACCCATAGAGCTTTAGCGCACTTTTCTGAAGATCAGCCGACACAGGCAATGTCTTATCGCAGTACGCATATAAGAAAATTTTGTCTTTATGATACAGCGGTGTACGTCACAGGCGCAAAACATCGATATCACGGTCACTTCATTTGAAGAATAGAGGACGAATGCACATCAAGAACTTCTGTGTGTATTTTCCGAATTAGCTAGATACAACTTTTTACTTGGAACGCGGACCCACCCACATAACTACCACAAAGATCGCGGATGTCTAAGCGAAACACAAGAATTATAGCAACTTCATGATGGCATGCACGCAACCTAAGACTGGACAACTTAAGTAAGTAGTGAGTATTCACCTCTAAAGATTCCCTAAGGACTGATCGTGATGCTAGGTTGTTCCGAAAGTTCTGTACGATTTTTGTTGCCTCATGTTTGATGCAGCAGTTCTCTTTAAGTGAAGTTTTGCATACATTGTGATGATATGCACACCACTAGAAAGCCCTCTTGCTCATTGCGATGCTAACTTTGGTCAGAATCCTCATTATTCTGCATTTTGAACCCAAACGCGCATGGTGCCTCAGTTTAGCAATATCCACGAAAGTTGTATTTGAGGGAATTTTCCCCTAATTTGCCAATGAAGTCATTTACGTAAAAGTGTAAAGCGAATAAGCAGTTAAAGGGCTAGCATCTCACATTTTCGCTCCCAGATTAAATTGTTTTGATTGCCGATCATGCTAACAAAAGATCCAAGCCTTTCTTAGCCATTCTACAAGCGCCAGACGCAAACAGGACCCATCCGGTTAGCCTTTTTCGTTTCCGACATTCAAAAAATCAAATGATTAAAAAGAAGCATGTTTCGGCTGCGCATGACGAGTCAAAAAAGCGGCTATTTTCTTTGCTCAAATATTTTTGTGCCACAACTTCTGCAGATTCGCTTTAGTCATAGAATACTCTCCAGATCTTGAGTTTCCAGTGACAATTGGATATGTCTGTTGTATCGCGTATGGGAGCAATGCTATGCCAAATTGGACGGTTTGGAGGGAAACTCGTAGAAAGTCTTGAAATCTCGTTCCTCCCTGGTTGCCTTTTTTATATGGTACGGTGTCCTTGTGGTATCCAAAAACCTGCTCAGTCTAATAAATATAAGATCCAAAAATGGTGAGTCCAAAGGAAGTTATAAGAATTCGAATAAAATAATTCGATCTGACAGAACTTTCGGAACACCCTAACATGAGCCCGTTGCCGCATAAGCCGATTTGTTTTCGTGTTTTTTGAGTACATTGCGAAGCATGTCAAGTTCGATCTCGCGGCCAAATTTGCCAAAAGGCAAACTTCTGCAAGGAAAGTGAATGGGTATAGTTTGGAAAATTTGGAGCGAACAGCAAGAGTATAACCCTGGAAACATAGCTGATGGAAGGAGCAACAGAATATCATTGCTAGTTGCTTGAATATTTTGCAGCTTGCATTGCCGATGCATGTCATACGTCACTACAGCTGCAAAAAGCTGCTAAGCTATCATTTGACGGAAAAAATAGTAGATAGTCAGAATTGAAGTTGTATATGCAACTAACGAGTAACAGGTGGAAAAAATTAGGTTAAAAACTCTATAATGAAATATATCAAGTACAAGACATATAATCATTTTGTTTTCATGAAACACCACAACAGTGCTAACCCATGATGTTAATTGTTTGAGTTTTCAAAGAAATTCGACAAAGCTTTATTGGCTGACAGGACCACGCGTATACAGAACCGCGAGCATTCGTGCAAAGTTTGACTTTGACCTCTACATACATTGTTGTCTCTCCATATGTTTGGGTGAGTGCGTCAAGCAACGCTTTGTCGCGGCCGAGCTTGGCTAAGACAATGATGGCAAAATTCCGAACATAGTCTTCTAGGGAATGTTAAGAATGCTGTAAGAATGCTGTGAAAATGTAAGAATCCCGCTGCGGAAAACCAATGGTGTTTTTTGGAAGCAGAAGAAAGTGTTTATGGTTTGGTTTGAAATAGAAAAGAGAGGGTAAACATTGCAAATGTCAGAAAAATAGTATATTTGAAGTAGGTGAAGAAAGCGGAAAACGGACGAGTATACTCAGTCATGGTGTTGAGATAACTTTCGATCCCTGAGTTGTCTGATGGTGTTTTTAGTTCGTTGTCAATCCACGCGTCAGCTTTGATTAAGTCGTCCTTCGAAAAGTCTAGGCTTCCTCGAATGGTAATCGTCGTCTTTTTTGAACAGGGGAAGGTGCACGTAGTTGAGACTTTATCGGTGTCAGAGCAGAAGATGAGAGTATTGGGGTGGCCTTGCGTTGTGCATCTTGCAGTTTGGCTTGGTATGGCGCATTCTGTAATGGCAGGTTTCTACTTCATTGCTCGTGCAGATAATTTCTATTGTTGCTCCAGAGCGCAGCTGTAATATCAGTGTATTCACCTTTCTCGACAGTGCAGGAGCTTTTCTGCATTTTTGAAGGATTTTCAAATGTTCTGCTACTAAATATAGCTGTAAGGCAGAACCAAGGTTGATTTAGCGTAGATGTCTTTGTTTTCTTCGTAAATAGGAAGATTTTTCGCACTTGCGGTAGAGGCATTCCATGCATGTTTTCGAGGTCCCCTTCGCTGCACTCACGGGAGACTTTAAGCAGGCCTTTCGTGGAGATAAAGGCCTACTGGAAAGTTGACGGTTGCTCCTGACATTTCCTATAGAGGAGCATTGGAGTTGTTCTACCGTATTTGGAATTGATTGCCTTTGCTGGCAATTTCAACGATTACGGCTTTCCTTCCATCCGTGATGAATGTAGACGAGAATTGGAAGTTGCGGTGTCACAGAGCCAATGAAGGTGACGCGCACATTGATTTAGGGGGGGGGGTAGTGCGTCCAGGAGTTAGTTGTAATGTAGTTGATGTTACGGAGTTTTTTTTGGGTCAGGCTAAAATTTGCTATCGCCGAAAGTCCCAACTAAAACAACTGAAGATAGAGTAGGTAAAAGGCGATGTTGCTTTGGCGTAGACACGTTCACTACAGCTGCAAGTAAAAGTAGGTCAAAATCTCTACACTAAAATAAATTAGATACAAGACATCCAGATATAGTATTTATTTTGTTTCATATGCAAAAACACCAGAGCAGTTCTAATCCATAACTGTTGATCACACACCATCCTTAGTTACAGTCTGCCCCAATCCTAAGCAGGCCAAGATTGGCATGGCGGGAGACCGCGTCGCTAGGGTTTCGCGGTCACGCCCACGGCCTGCTTCTTTGTCCTCTCTTCAATCTTTTTGCTCTTTCCGACAGCGCGCACATGCAGCGCAGACTGCTAGCGCTGCGAGCGCGCAAATTTACGCCGACGGTTCGGCCTGATCCCGATTGGAGCAGACTGTGCTCGTGAGCGCTTCGCCACACATTCTGGCCTTCCTTGGTAAACCAAATAAAACCACCCTCAGCTTTATTTTGAACCTAGTTATGAGCTCGCCAAGTTTCGTGCAATATATGGTACTGTCACTTCTCTTGGGTCAATACGTACCAAAACCGCCCTACGCTTTCCTAGGGATTATAGCTTTCTAACTCAACTTGGAGAAAAACGAAAGGGACATATATGGGCTAATTTTTGACGCCAAATCTAGTGGTACCTTTGACTTTTCGCCATCTTTACTCTATATGCGAGTTTTACCCAATTTTCGGATTGGGCCTCAGACTCAGTCAATCAGCCTGAAACTTTGTATGTAGTATTGCAGCCTAACACTGATAAAGTCCTGAAAATTTCAGCTCTGCAGCTTTCCTAGAACACGAGTTGTAGAATATCAAGAAATTTACAGTGTAAAAATTCTGGAATTCAAGATCGGGGTATGGAGTTAATCGATAAGGCCCAAAAAACTATGTACAGTAAGTAGTTAGCATAGTAGCACGCTTGCAAAATTTGAGCCCTCTTTCTTCATTTTGATCCGAGTTATAAGTTCGCGAAGTTTTGTGCAATTTATGGCGCAGTCACTTCTCTATGGGTACTGCTAATCAACCTGGTAACAATCGCAGCTCTTTCAAACAATTTCTTGGACCATTGTACGCTTTCATGAACGCAAAGCCCCATCAAGAGTTGCTACTTAATCTCGATTAAGGTGATAACACTTGGTAGAGTTTTGCGTTTATGAAAGATTGTAATGGACGTATCGGTAATCTATTTTCTGTTATAGCTGAAGCTAGCCTTACTATATGATACCTGAAATTAGCGAAGGTTTTAAAGCAAGAGAGTTCTTAGTGAACAAACGTTCGTACATTTTTTGGAGACGCCTTGTATTCAAACATTTTTTTACAAATCGCCGACCATGAACCGCTTACGGTTCGATTGAAACCAACTCAATCACTATAGCAGAACATGCGTATGTGTCGCCAAATGCGAGATTTTGTTTACCTCAGTCACCAACCACCAGTTTAAAGAAAGTTATTAGCGATATGATCGGGAGCTATCTCACTTTTGTCTCTTTCAAAGTTTTTTCAAATTTATTGGGTGGTTGGAAAGAAAGCTGGCATTTGAACGTTAGCATGATAGATATTGGTGTTGCACAGATCTCACACACCGGAAAAGGAGAGTTCAAGCGGCTCATTAGCTTGATAAAGAGCGTAAGAATGACGAAATTATCCACAATTTTTTTACGTTTCAAAATTACAAAATCTCCAGCCATGCATCAATTCGACCCTTAAAAAATGGCACATATGGAGGGTTAAGAGCTATATCACGTATGAAATCAAATGATAGAAATAGAGCTCCAAATAACTAAACTAGGAAAGCCAACTAAACCAAAATTCTCAAATAATCTTCTTTAATAAACTCTTTTGCTGCTCAAAGCAAAATGCTAAACGTGGGAGCGTAACAGTACATAAACGCACAGAATGGCGTACTTGTTTCGAGGGTGATTATATGGTTTTTCTAATGATCAATGCAAATCATGAGAACCTTGTTCACAGATGTCACATTTTTATTGTGCATAATGTTTTCACATTCGCTTTCTGTATTCGCACGATACAGCAATTCTGCAGTTAATAATCCCAAGAATTAGAGATAAGATACCATACAATAATTTCGCTCTAAACGGTTCTATCTCTACGATATCTGACTCAGGCCAGAAATTGTCAATACCATTTTCCCAACGACTTCCACGGGTGAGTGTTAGAATTTATTACCCTATGGACAAGAAGCAGTGTTTTATGAGACACTTGTCATAAAGCAACGAAAGGCAACAATTTTTTTATGAGCAAGGGAAATTGTCCAAATGGTCCTCATATGGTGTTTTTCCGGGCATAGCTATTGCGACCGAAGTTTTGTGACGAGTACATGGCGAGGCTATACAATAAGCTTGTGTTGCTGTACTTCAAGGACAAGAACTACTGTGATTTCTCGGTACGAAAGTTATAAACAACTATCATTCATCTGGAAGTCATACACGGATTTTGGGAGGTGAAGTTTTCTTCTTTCGTTTCGTGAAGTACAGTTGTGACAGTGGAATGTGAAAAATTTCGGCGAATTCGCCGAATTCGCCGAATTCGCCAAGTTCGCCGATGTCGCCGAATTCGCCGATGTCGCCAAATTCGCCGATGTCGCCGATGTCGCCGACTTTGCGTCTTTTCGTCATAACTCCCTTCCTTCTTAATAGAATTCAAATTTGAAGGCAGATTTGGATTTAGCTCGCCGAGACGAATCTTTTCATATATTGAACTGCTGTAATCGGCTCGGTCACGGTAAGTACATGGTAGGAATCCGTTGCATCCTGTGGTGGTGTTTTCTAGAGTGTGTATTTCGGCGCATAATGTAGGCAAAGGTTTAAGAAAAAGAGCGTTTGATGGAAGAGTTTTTGCTGAGTGTTTCCAGCAGAAAACCATATCCTTTTTTGCAGTGGAAAAAAGAGAAAGGAGTACGTGAACTCAGTAAATATACATGAACCACTTACCGTCAAACAAACATAACTATACAGTAACACTATGATTAGCAAAACAATAATAATCTTTGTAATCAGCATGTCTTGTTGCTTATGTGAGCAAAGTGACACACCGCATGACTATGATATTCTGCTTCCAGCAAAACTTCACTTTTTTCTGCAGACGCCTCTTTGCAACGCTGTGGGCCAGCCCCTTTCACACTTGAAAGATTCGAGTAAGGCGAGTCGGAAAGAGTTGTTTCCGTAGATAATCCAGCGGTGAAAAGTAGACGGAGACATGCTTTAAAAAGCGCGAAAAGAGATGGTGAATTCTGCAAAAATCACGCGCCTTTAAATTCTACTTGCCATAACTTCCTCCAGAATAAGTATATTCTGAATGCGAAAACGGTGCTGTGCTCAGCTTATCAAGGCGAATCTTTTGGTGTACAGCATGTCCTTGATATCTCGATTTCAGTATTCTTGATTCTTTCTGCGGACGTCTCTTCTCGAAGGTGTAAAGCAGCGAGCATTGTCCCGAGTAGATTCCAGCAGGGACCTTTTGATAGTACTTTTTCTGTAGATTATGATGCGCTAAACAGCAGCCGCAATTTTCTTTTCAAAGGAAAAAGATGGGCTGGTGAATTGTGGAAAAATCTTGTCGTCCCAAATTCTACTCGCCATAGCCATAGAATATGATGCTCTCTTGCTAAGCAGATGTGATTATCGTAATCAGCAGGTCGGATAACCACTATGAGCAAGTTTTCCGAGATTTTCGGGTTATTTCATTTTTTCTCGTTCTACGCTCTGGAAGCTCGCCGATGGATTTTGGTCAAAATGTTGATGCTCTTGAATTGTAAGGAAACTTCGCTTATAGAGGTTTTCGAACACGCTCTTTACGAAAATCGTGGTTTCTGAGGATTACAGTGGCTTTTTGGAGAGATACGATGAGGTAACTGTAACTGCACCACGGAAGTGCGTAACTTTGCCCGCACTTCTCGCGTACCTCTCAGAAACCTTGCTTGCTTGCTTTTCGAAGTCAAAGTGACTAGGAACTGAGCTATCGAATGCTGTATGAGTAGGGCTCCAGTCTATAAAATTCGCCGAGTTGCAAGCCTACGAAAACACGTCCTCATGAAATTTGCACAAAATGTAAAGATCGCGTACTTTGTTGAAATTCCACCGTGAGTGGTTGCATGACTAATTGCAAATGTTATTTTCACCCCTCCCGCGTTTTATACAACCAGGGCCCGGCACGAGGTGGGCAAATGACAAGCTGGAAGTGTTTTTGTTGGAAAAAGCAAGGGGGAAATCGTTTTTGCGGGATCGATAGCGGAGCCCCGGAAGAAGATTCCAAGTGCAAGCAAAAGAAGGTCGAATTATGCTCATTACCTTATACATCTAATTCATTAAGAAGCAGTTTTCGTAAGCCTCAGCGCACAGCAGAGTTCGCGCGCGTCAAACCGCGCCGTCGCTAATTGCCGCACGCGCGACGTCGCCCAAGCGATGCTATTTGTAACTGCATACATGACTAGTTCTCAATGTATGTGTAACGATATAGCATCAAATTATGTAAGCGAACGAAGAGAGGCTAGTAGAAACAAAGTATGAAATATCATGAAAAACTTATGTGAATGGGAGGAGTAATAAGCATTTTTTCCAAAAATTTTGCAAAACTGGTAAGTGAAGATGTGAATGCAAATGGCTCGTTTGCAGCGCACAGATGACCATGCGGTATGGGACTTGGTAGATACATGAACACAGGCCTGCAGGGCTTAACTTAGAAGTTTCACTGGAAAACCATGTGACTAAAGGTTGTGGCAAGCTTTTTTCTAAAAAACTTTCCCTATCAAGAAAATTGAAAAATGGCTCGATTGCTGCGCAGGGAAAACGAAACCGCGCGCGACTTGGTGTGTGTACGCGCAGTAGGACTAAGGAACAATGTATAAAAAATTATGAAAAACTTATGTGAATGAAGAGCGTGCTCAACTATTTTCCAGATTAGTTTTGCCCACCTCAGGTAGGCTTTAGGTGGGCATTTGCCCACCTAAAGCCCACCTGAGGGGGCAAAACTTTCAATTCAAATAAGTTTTTCAAAATTTTTACATAAAACTGTTGTACACCTAAAGTTTACTACATGGTGAGAATTTGGTTCCGAAATTCCTCCTCTTGTCCTTGTTAGAGCCCGAAATCGCATCAGCAGCCTAGCTTTCTAAGATGGAAAGCGCGCCCCAGTCAATCGATACGCGCGGGAACGGCGTCTTTCATTCCTATGACTGCGTTACTTTGATATTTTTTCATTCCTTCATCATTTTCTTGCTTATTTTCCTTCCTGTTTTCTATCTTGATACAGCTGAGGAGTGAATTTGAGCACTTTGGGCGCTTTTGAGGGCTTTTAGGCGAAGTGTGGCCGGTACTCTCGTTGCACGAGCACAAAGCGTCATTTCTGGGCTCAAGGGAGTATTCGTAAAATTTATTGGGATCAAAGGGGAATTCGTTTTGGAAAACCCCGTTTGCCCACCTTGTGCCGCCCTGTATACAACCACTCACGGTGGAATTTCAACAAAGTACGCGATTTTTACATTTTGTGCAAATTTCATGAGGACGTGTTTTCGTAGGCTTGCAACTCGGCGAATTTTATAGACTGGAGCCCTACTCATACAGCATTCGATAGCTCAGTTCCTGGTCACTTTGAATTCGAAAAGCAAGCAAGCAAGGTTTCTGAGAGGTACGCGAGAAGTGCGGGCAAAGTTACGCACTTCCGTGGTGCAGTTACAGTTACCTCATCGTATCTCTCCAAAAAGCCACTGTAATCCTCAGAAACCACGATTTTCGTAAAGAGCGTGTTCGAAAACCTCTATAAGCGAAGTTTCCTTACAATTCAAGAGCATCAACATTTTGACCAAAATCCATCGGCGAGCTTCCAGAGCGTAGAACGAGAAAAAATGAAATAACCCGAAAATCTCGGAAAACTTGCTCATAGTGGTTATCCGACCTGCTGATTACGATAATCACATCTGCTTAGCAAGAGAGCATCATATTCTATGGCTATGGCGAGTAGAATTTGGGACGACAAGATTTTTCCACAATTCACCAGCCCATCTTTTTCCTTTGAAAAGAAAATTGCGGCTGCTGTTTAGCGCATCATAATCTACAGAAAAAGTACTATCAAAAGGTCCCTGCTGGAATCTACTCGGGACAATGCTCGCTGCTTTACACCTTCGAGAAGAGACGTCCGCAGAAAGAATCAAGAATACTGAAATCGAGATATCAAGGACATGCTGTACACCAAAAGATTCGCCTTGATAAGCTGAGCACAGCACCGTTTTCGCATTCAGAATATACTTATTCTGGAGGAAGTTATGGCAAGTAGAATTTAAAGGCGCGTGATTTTTGCAGAATTCACCATCTCTTTTCGCGCTTTTTAAAGCATGTCTCCGTCTACTTTTCACCGCTGGATTATCTACGGAAACAACTCTTTCCGACTCGCCTTACTCGAATCTTTCAAGTGTGAAAGGGGCTGGCCCACAGCGTTGCAAAGAGGCGTCTGCAGAAAAAAGTGAAGTTTTGCTGGAAGCAGAATATCATAGTCATGCGGTGTGTCACTTTGCTCACATAAGCAACAAGACATGCTGATTACAAAGATTATTATTGTTTTGCTAATCATAGTGTTACTGTATAGTTATGTTTGTTTGACGGTAAGTGGTTCATGTATATTTACTGAGTTCACGTACTCCTTTCTCTTTTTTCCACTGCAAAAAAGGATATGGTTTTCTGCTGGAAACACTCAGCAAAAACTCTTCCATCAAACGCTCTTTTTCTTAAACCTTTGCCTACATTATGCGCCGAAATACACACTCTAGAAAACACCACCACAGGATGCAACGGATTCCTACCATGTACTTACCGTGACCGAGCCGATTACAGCAGTTCAATATATGAAAAGATTCGTCTCGGCGAGCTAAATCCAAATCTGCCTTCAAATTTGAATTCTATTGAGAAGGAAGGGAGTTATGACGAAAAGACGCAAAGTCGGCGACATCGGCGACATCGGCGAATTTGGCGACATCGGCGAATTCGGCGACATCGGCGAATTTGGCGAATTCGGCGAATTCGGCGAATTCGCCGAAATTTTTCACATTCCACTGTCACAACTGTACTGTAATCGAGTCCGAGACTAATGCTTGCAAATTGCTCACAAGGGAAGGATCCCGACTGCACCTGCAGCGGCGATCTGGAGCGAATTGCACA